GGGGGGGGTGGAAAGCAGCGGGAAGCGAGCAAGCCGGATCCCTCCGGTGGCTTCTCGGGGCTCGCGGGGGACCATGGTCCTTGTGACAGGCAGGATGAGAAACTAAGAGCAGGAGAGAGAAAGAGCGAGGTGGGAAATGGGTTAAAAGCGCAAAACAAGCGTGGCCCGGAGGTCTTGCATAAAAGCGATAGTTGGAGACGCCGTTTTCCAGCACAGGCTCCAGCTGCTTCTTCAGTAGTTGCCACTGTGCAAAAGTCCCGTGTTAATTTTGGTGGAAACAGGATTTACTTGCAAGGTGCTTGGGTGCCGCGGAGGGGAGGGATTCGGGTGCTGATCCCTGCTGGAATTGGGGCTCCTTCCTCCTCCTCGTTCCAGGCTTCAGGAGGGACGTCCGGGCAAAGAGGCTCTGATGAATAAAGTGCAATTGAGCCAGAGGCGCCGGGACAGTTTTCTGCTCCCGGAGGCGAGCGGACGACGTCTTGGGACGCGTCGCCCTTTCGCTTCCACCACCAGCAGGGCGGGAAGCGATTTCACCCTCGGTGAACACGCAGCTGGGAACGAGCATCCAGGCTTGGCAGAAAGGCAGGATCTGCTGGCGGCGCTCCGGTCCGTTGTTATTCCGGCAACCCCCACAGGGTGCAGGCGATGGGGAGGTTAAAAATCACACTACAAAGTTATCAGAAGGAAGGGCCCTTCGGAGAGCGTCAGGTGAAGGAACCGCTGGTTACCCGACCTTGAAAAGAGTCTTCCTTCCTGGAAAGAGAAGTGCTGGTGAAGGGGACCGGCCGCGAGCCAGGGAAGCGCGTCCCGAGCGGGGCCGGCGGGAAGCTCTTACCGTGCGCCGCGCGCAGCGTCACGGCGTGTAGGCCGGCGGCGGCTGGAACTGGTTGATCACCTCGTACTCGGCCGGGTAGGGCTCGTTCTCCTCCATCTCCGACAGCAGCTCCAGGGCCTGCTCCTCTTCCTCGGTGGGGTAGTGGCGCAGCAGGTTGGCGGCCGTGGCAAGGATGGAGGCGCCACCGGCTCCGGCCACGAGGTAGAAGCTCACGGCGAAGGTGACGTAGACCTGGGAGCCGTGGTACTTCTTGTGCTGCTGCTGCTGTGCCAGGATCAGCTCCGAGGCCCAGTAGCAGAAGCCGATCACGGTGGCGCACTGCAGGACTGGGCGGGAGAGGAGACATTGAGCATCCGAGCAGGAAAAACAGCAATGGAGGAAGAGCCGCGGTGACCTCGCTGCCACGTAGGGGACAGAAAGCAAGGCCAGGTAGCCTGGGCCAGCTCTGCTTCCCCGTAGTATAAAATGGAGCAAGGGCCAGCTCAAAGCCTGGCTTCCACCCGCTTTATTTCTTGAAAAACAGAAAAAGAGCGAGGAGGAGCCCAGGCAGCAGCAGAAGTGGCTTAATCTCCACCTTCCTCTGCCCTGGCTAGCAAGAAGAGAAGGTGCCCTCAGCGTGGCATCGGGGCCAGGCCACACGAGCAGCTGCTGCTTAGTGGCCCGGAGGGATTAATAAGCTAAAGACGAGCTTGTCCTCTTTGCAAAGGAGAGGTGAAGAGCGGGGGGCAAAGCAGGGGCCGCGTACGATAACCCCAAGCTGGAAAAGCTGCAGCGGGTTTCTTGGGAGGTGGCAGGAGCGTCACGGAGCCGGCAGGCTCAGGCGTCTCCTGAGCAGCTCAGGGGCTGACGTGGGCCATTTTATCAGGGATAAGGGGAAGCAAATCCTTTGTGAGGATGAGCGGGAAGACACGACCTGCACCTTATTCCCCGGAAAGTCTCCGTTGTGCGTTACAGGACAAAGCTTCCACCTCGGGCCCCTTCTAGACTCAGATCCCAGATGAAAAAAACAAGAGGGAAAAACGTGGTTTTCTCCCAGAGCGGTTTAAATAACGAACGAGTTACGTAGCTAAATAAATGAGTAAATAAGGGGCGCCGGGAGTTACCGGTGAGGATGTGCGCGAACGCGTAGCGCCGCGTGATCTTCAGCGCCGGGTGCTTGGGCCCGAAGACGTCGAGCAGGAACGCCGAGAGGCTGCAGAGGATGCCCAGGAAGCAGAAGGCAGCGATGACCCGGAGCAGCAGAACCGTCTGTGGGTTCATGCAGTAATCTGGGAGGGCGAGGAAGCACACATGGAAACTTCAGCACAGTTAAAGCTGCAAAACGGAGCTGGTTTTTAGCGACAGGTGAAAAAAATAGCAGCAAGAAGCAGTTCAAAACTCCCCGCGTGTCGCGGAGGCTCTGTCATCCACCCAAACCTGACACCAAAATTGGTGCCAGACGAGTAGGATGGAGACGAGGATGCAGCTTTAAAGTCCCTGGATCTGCTTCTGGAGCACATGCATCCCAAGGGAACGGCCGCTATTCCTGCGGTATCTGGGAGCAGAGCAGGTTTACTGCTGCCCTTGGGGGGCCAGGTCTCCCCAGAGGGTGCGGAGGGGACCCTCCAAACTTGAGAGGGAGGAAAAGAGCAATCAAAAGAAGGGACAAAAGGCCCAAAAGGAGCCTTTTCCCTCAGGAAAGCGGGCGGTGACAGGGAGCATGACACCTCGGCGACACTCCGCATCCCCAACCGGTTTCACCGCCTCTCCAAGCAATTCGGGAAGTGGCTGCCGGGGTCATTCCCAGAGTCACACGACAACTATGGAGCATCAAGGCAGAGGAAATGGCTACATAACCGGATATAAATAAATAAATATCTACGTGGATGAGGCACCGGGACCCGGGGTCGGGAAGTGGCTGCCGGGGTCATTCCCAGAGTCACACGACAACTATGGAGCATCAAGGCAGAGGAAATGGCTACATAACCGGATATAAATAAATAAATATCTACGTGGATGAGGCACCGGGGCCCGGTGTCCCCCGGCCGGTTGGGGGAGCAGGGCAGGGGGAAACCGGCGGTGGGGGGCAGGCCCCGGGCACCCCGCTCGCTCACCCCGGAGCAGCTCGGGCTCCACGTATCCGAGCACGTCGGCGACGCCGAGCTCCTGGCGGGGGCAGGTGCCGCCGTGGCGGCGGGGGCAGGCCGGC